CATCTTTTGAACCTTTCTAGACACCTGCGCAAAGATGCACCCACCATCTTAACAATAATCCCAGGGCCACAAAATTAAATTCATTCTCCTCTTTCACCACGCAAAGCAACAATCCTCACCAGCAGAGCCGGGATAAGACAGACAGACACTGCACACACGTTTAATTCCACTTTCTTTATTAAGGAAACGCACACACAAATGCAATCATGTGTCCTACAGCACTAAAAAGTTCAAAAAGTAACAGAGAAAACTATTTTCCATTTAGCATAAAATGCATCACAAAACCACAAGAACACAGTCTGGCAGCTTTTTTTAATGCATTACCCGCCTAGTGAGTCTTACACTTCTACCTTATGCCAACTGGAAAACAAAAAGCTGTGATAGTTGTTAGTTAACTTTGTTCTGGGATCTGAACTTCACTGAAACTTTTTATGATGAATAGCACAGGTGCCAACAGGACTCGAAACCGCCTGAAGTGTTAGAAGGCGTGAGTAATATACGATCAGTCTGAAAAGCTAAATAATAAATGCGGAGACCTGATCTTACTGGTTACTCTCAGTTTCTTCGCAGGTGTCTTGAAAACAATGCGAGTACATTAATATTAATAGTCCAATGAATCACAATTAGCCTTTTTATGATCGTACAGGCACTTGTGTTTCTGTGAGATCTGGGCCATTTTACAGACACAACAGGCACTGTTGTTGTAAACCACTGCTGACAGCGATAGCCCATGGAGTCAGGACCCAAAAGGAAGGTTTTTTTTTATATCTGTCGGTGGCAGGTGAACTGGGAATCTTATGTCACATCACATGCAGTATCATTCAGTTTCTCTGAAGCAGTGACTGTCAAAACACTGAGATCCTTGTGAGATTTTGTTTAAAATTAACATTGGGAGGAACAAAATGTACAGGAGGTCTCTATAAATGCTTCACCAACCTGACCAGTGTTATTTTAGTATCACATACTATTAAAATTGTTTTTAAAGGAATAGTCCACCGAAAAAGGAAAATTCTGTCATCATTTCCTCACCTTCATGCCATTCCAAACCTGTATGGCTTTCTTCTGTGGTACAGTTTCTGTTCACACTGACTTCTATAGCATCGTTGATTTGCATATTATGGAAATCAATGGGACCGTTAACAACATTCTTCAAAATATCTTCCTTTACGTTCCACAGAAGAAAGTAAGTCCTACAGGTTAGGCTTGCCGCGATAGACGGTGCTGACGGTGATATCGGTGTTAAGCCGCAACACCGGTTACGTCACTTGCCCACCGCGTCACCGACCCCCACTGTCGTTTAGATTTTTTATAGTAATAAAAATCATTTAGTTCAGTAAAAGAACAGACACTACAATTAAAAACTGAACGCGGCTACTCAATGCAGCGTGCCAAACGACAGTCGCATCAGTTTGGAATGACACGAGGATGAGTAAATGTTGAGAGAATTTTCACTTATGGGTGGACTATCCCTTCAATATTTTGAATTAGTTTTTCTTTTTATATTTTCCACTTTCATATTAATTTTGTTGCACCTTTTTATTATTATTATTATTGTTTTCTTTTTTAGCTATATATATATATATATATATATATATATATATATATGTGTGTGTCTATATTGTATGGTTTTAATTTTAATAACCCTGATCCAAATCATTATGTTTTTAAAAAAGCATACCTGGAAATTTGCACATTGCAATTTAAATAATTTAACAACAACAACCATCTATAATGCAACGTTCCTGGCAAAACAATTAGTCGGCAAGACAATTTTTACTTGCACTGGAGCTTGGCAAATTGTTATTTAGGACCTTGTTGGGAGCTAAAGAGTTTTGGTACCATCTCCATTTCACTTTAATGAAATCCTTAATGAATCCTTAAAAATCCTCAAAAAATCAGGAATATCATGTTAGTGACACCACATCCATCAGACGAGAGCCCCATCTAAGCCTATTCGCAATATTCAAGACCTGAATCTACATGAAAACTAGATCATTTGCAAGAGGTCCCCTGATTGCTCAACAGAGTTTGGTTAAGGTCAGTGTGCGGTAAGAAGAAAAAAAAAAAAAGGATCAGACTCAGCCCCAGGGTCCTGTCTATTCAGCCTGAAGTCCTGCCTTAAAAAGAAAATGATGAACTTGTTTTTACCTGCCCCGTAAGTATTTATTGTGCTTAAGGGACAAGAAACTCTCCTTATATCTATGCTGTCATTAGGAAATCTTTCACATTCAGAAAAGGAAACATCCACATATTTCATTACTTCTTTGGCATTCAAAGCAGACTTTTAAAGAGTTCACCCAAAGATGAAAATGTATTATTTATTCACCCACATGTTTCTAAAATGATATGACTTCCTTACTGTTGTGGATCATAAAATAAGATATTATTAGAAGTATTTCAGCATTTTTTTTTGTCCATACAACAAAATTCAATGTTGGTAACTAATACTGTCTGGTTATCAGCATTGTTCAAAGAAAGAAAGTCATACAGGTTTGGAACAACATGAGCAAATGATGACAGAATTTGTATTTTTTGGTGAACTACCCCCTTTAAGCCATCATATTTCTTTCAGAGACAAAAAAACTTATTTTCCCAAAGCATACATTTACTTTAAAAGAAAAGTCATACAGCAGACTATTAAACACTTCAAAAGCTCAGCATGCAAACAGTATGCTTGCTGTATCTGCAAAGAATACTTCAAACTCCTAACTCTCATAGCCTTTTAGTGACCCATTTTTTCTGAGTCGTCCCAGCAATGCTTATCTCTAAACTTTTTTACAGAAATACCAATCATTTTCCAAGATATACAAACTAACTTTCTCAATATATATTCACAATGGGTGAGGGAATGCAAAAACATTGTAGATGAAACCAGAGTGCACAGCTTCAAGTGAGGCGCTTGAACCCCTCTGGTGTGACAAATGAACTGTGGCTTGACAATTACGACAGGATTTCTCTAAAGTTCACAGACAGATGCTGTCATATCTCGGACAAAAGCAAAATGCCAAATGTAATCCTAAATATGCAAAAATGGACCATAAATCCTGTGCTGTTTAGCAGAAAAAGCTCTATATTTGTCTACCACACAGATGCCTTTTTATAAGGGATATGAACATAAATAAACAAATGAACTGAGTCGGTTAATTAATAATATTCTTTAACCATTAACTTTTACTATCCACATGGCCATTGTACAATTTTGCAAAATGTGATGCATCAGTCCTTTGTAATCAGAGTAAGCCCGTCTCATCTTTTAAGTAGCCAGAGACCAGATTTGCGAGGATAAGGCCTGCACTGGGAACTTTGTCTTAGTGGTGTAAAAAACACAGCTCACTAGATATGATCTAAATTATTCACTAACCAGCACAGAAAGAAAGGGTTGACAGTGTTCCTTATATTTGCCAAGCGGCATGAAATAGATTAAACCTTCTACCACTCCATTTGACTGTGGCTGTCCTTTACATCTTCATATCTTCTTGTACGTGAATGTAATCACAGCCTACATTTCTCTGAATAAGAAATATGCTCCTATATGTGTTTCAAAGACATCAAAGTATCAAATTCCTAATAAAATCACACTCTGTGCCTAATGTTTTACAAGCAAACCAAATTCTGTAGTGTAAAAATCACAGTTTGCAATGCAGTAAAGCAGGCTGAACCAACAACTCTGCATGCACAATGCACGTTGCATGTGATTCCAGTCAAGAGCCTGGAAACCACCGCTTTCTTCCCCCTTTAATAATGCACTGTAATTCAACTTCCACCGTGCATGCATTATTGACCACTGATAATTAGAAATGCATGACGGGGTAGAGACATTCACCTTATTCCAAACAAGCCCTTATAGACTAGCTCAACCCCTATCCTGCACACAACACTTCCGTTACGCCCATCGCAAACTAGGCTGATTCATTTCAGCAAATCGGTTCTTTTGGGCAATTCGTTCAAATGAGCCGATTCACCCATTCGTTTGAGTCATCACTCAAACAAAAGTTTTACAAAAGCGACCGTGCGCTGTTTATCCAGTCTTTTTTGTATAGTGAAATACATATTTATTCACAAAATGCAGCTGTTTATTCCTTTTTTGTCAAGTAAGTTGTGAAGATAATGCGTCAAATGTTGTGGCTTACAGCAGAGTGATACAAACGTTTTCCAATCGGTTCAGGTGAATAATTCAAAAGAGCCGTTTCAGATGAACAATTCGACGGTGCCTGTGACTGCAAGGCACAACAATTTCACATCGTTTCTACACATTTTTACAAAGTTTAACCTCCGTGAGCATATATACTCGTCTTATTTAAAGACAGTTAATAATTCTGTGACAAAACCAATGCAAACAAGCATGTCCGCCTGCGTTTCTCTCCATCTTGCCCAGTCATTGTTGTTATTGGGGGAAAATGAGGATAGTGCAAACAGTCTTCCGCGAATTTAAACGATATGACAACTTAGTTTGTACGCTGTAGTGTCGTATAAAAAGCTTAGACTGTACGCAAAACTAGAATGTCATTGTTATTGTAATATGACAGGTGGGGTCTTTACATTTAATGATAGAAAGACATGGTCAGTGACACTCAAATGAATTCGAAGCACCCACTTTGAATGCTCTTAAAAATCACGTAAAATTATTCTATAATTTAACATGAAAAGTTTCTTCTGTGCACAGCCCGTGTGATGAAGGGGCTTTCTCAAGCTCCTGTCAAAGAGGACAAACTCGCCCTGTCAGTTCCTGCTTTCCTTTACCTGTTTCCTAATTCGTACGCGCACTAAATATGATTTATTCAAGCCAAGCGCGCATAATTATCGATATTTCATGCTAAAGGAACAGGTACAGGTTTAAATCGAGGCGCTTTTCGGGTGAAATAAGAATAACTTCCGCAATGCTGCTGGATCCATGCAGCTCTTCTGAAGCTGCTCCGTTTCATTACCGGTAGGATCAAAGCCACACATGCAGATCTTAAACATCTAAAACACTGCGATCAACGCATCGAAATCATACTGACCTAGTGCCACCTCACAGGCTTTGCGCAGCTGCGAGTGATGAGCCTTTTTCACCTCCTTGTCGGCCAAGATCTTTTCCAAAGCTCTGGTTAAAAACATGTTTTTCGTCTTATTGCCTTCATACATGACGCGCTGCGACAGGGCGACGAGAACCTGTCCCAATGGAGGCTAGATCCGCGAATTTTAGATATTCCTGTATGATTTAGTTTTTCTCCGGCGGACGATGCCCTCAACAGAGAAACATAAATAAAGCCAGAAGGTGGGGTAAATCCCTCAGTTTTCCATCAGCGACCTGCTGCCTGCGCCATGTTGGAAGGAAATGACGCCACGCACGTAAAAACGGCCGCAGTGAGGTAGAGTGAGAAGTGAGAGAGTATAAATAAATAATAATAAATAGAGCGAGGTTATACATAAATATATATAAAAATAAATAATAATAAATGACCAAAACAATGGAAGAGAGATATATGTCTGCTCTGTGCATTAAGAACAGCGGTGGTCAGATATATCAGTATAACTCACTTCCTTGTGATAGTTGTGGTTATAGATATAATTATAGATATCTGTGCTAATGTTGTCCATAAGTTATATAGCAACTTGTTTACATTTACGTTTACTTAATCTCTTGTTTACATTTATAGCCTACTCATAATCAAATAATAATATAAAATAATAATAATAATCAAATAATTCCTCAAAAAATTGTTTTAAGACAGCTTAAATGTTTTATTAATAAGGATGTTATTTTGTAATTTCATGTGGCCTAGATGAGTTTGTTGCAGCCGTGATTCAGCTAGCTACTATAGAAGTCTTTAAGACCTAAATATAATTTGCATTTACTAAAATGTACTAAAATTACTACTAAAATTGTCTGAAAACAGTTTTTTCATATTTTAATACAATTTAATTGACTTATTTCCATGATATTTTATTGCTGTTTGCTGCAGTCCTTTGAGTATCTGATTTCAACTTTATACAGGTGCTTCTCAATAAATTAGAATGTCGTGGAAAAGTTCATTTATTTCAGTAAACGGCCTACATATCCTTCAACAACAAACTTATTTTTTGACACTGAAGCCATTTCAATGAAATACTCTTTATCTATTAAGACTTATTATTTATGATTTTCATACGCGGGTTTTAAGGAAGATTAATGAGTCAACACTGCTCTTCATCAAGCAAAGCCACAGTTTGTTTTTGGCACTCCATGATGAGTAATTGTCAGGTTGTATTCACAAGATGCACAAATGAAAGAAGCTGACTTCAAATGCGGAGGATGAGTCAAGGCCACGCGATTTCAAGCGGCCTATTCCCTACAATTGTATATTCAGGTCATACAATGAATATCAATAAGTCAACCACTTATTGAAGGGGTCATTTAGACACATATAGAAAGCTATATAAAATGAATTCTTCTGTTATCTATAAATTATTATTATTTATCTATAAATAAATAGCACATTTTACATATTTTAATTTAAATTTTACAAAAAAATAGTAGAGGGCCAAATAAAATAACATTCATATTTTATGCAGTGGTCAAATCTGATTGGCCGAATGTTGAGTATCATTGCATTGGCATTTAACGTTTTTGTATCACCCCGCTTGTCTCGGCATTTTAGATTGTTGAGTGGACTCGGGAGCTGATTTGCCTGGATCATTTTTTTATTTGTTTGTTTGTTTGAAAGTTGTAGAGTCTGTATTTTTATACTTATTTTCTTTCGCAACTGGAGGCAGAGCTATGTAATTCCATCTACAGTAAGGAGTGCTTTTATCTTATTTCATTTTATTTTTTACTTTTTTCACGTGTTTTTCTGATTTATTTGTTGTCGAGTAAAAACAGCAAAATCTCTGATGCTCCTTCAGATTTCTGTGTGACAAGCAAATATGTACAGTTTATTTGGGACCGTTTTCTTCGGCGGAGAAGAAAAATACATTCAGATTATATATATATTTTTTTATCAAAAGGTAAGTTACTCAATATTAACTACTTGTTCAAAGGTATACAACTGTGTATAAAATCAATATCACTCTCCCAATCACGATATGATATTGAATTTGTTTCTGGTGTGATATAATTTCCAAGTACTCAAAGATGGACTACGGTCTGGGCTAGTGGTGTAACGATATTCAAACCGAACCGAAAAACCACGATACTCTCTTGGCCTACCCCACCCCCTGCTGTCTGGGCCGATGAGACAAGGGCCTTGTTTCTCTCAGTTCAGAGGCCTGCGGTGCCCAAAGCATTTTAGGTGCTTTAAATGCCTACTGGTTTTCTCTTTTGCAATGTATTACATAAATGGTCTGTTCATTCTTGTATTTGTAACTTTATTTTTCATATTTGTGAAGTAATTTTTCATGATTTGGATAGTAGGGCTAATATCTTCCATTTTTAACAAACAATAGAATCCATTTTTGGATGATCGATGCAGCTTTTAATGATCTACCTGTTGGTAAAATAAACAGTAAGATACAAAAATCTGTGTACAATGAAAACAAATCTTAAATGCCAACTAGCAAGACACTTATTATATAACAAAGTACTGTATGTTTTCATTGAAATAAATACAGGCTTATTGCAATAACATTCCAAAACTTTATAGTACTTAAGAGTTCAAATGTAAACATTGCCCTTGCAGGTACAATTAATTATACAAGTTAAAGTTACTTTGATAAGCTTTTCTTCAAAACAAAACAAAAAAACAGCAATTGTATGTATTCTTGTTTGGCTCATTTAAGACGTTAAGTTCCCAGTTGATTTCAAAACAAAATCAAAGCTGTTTTTTAGCTGCAGTGATACACAGCTACACACAACATCTACACTAAAATAACCCCATTTTAAGATAACAGTATGCATTATGTACATTCTCTGGGCATTACTGTTCTTTTGAAGCAAGTGCTCACTGTATATTTGCCTCATAAGTAAAAAACACTTTTGAGAAAGATTTAGTTCACAATTCAAGTGCTTTCATTTCTTCAGTTTACATTTATACCATTTTGTTTAATGTAGAGCTTCTTTAAAGTAGTTTATAAAATAAATAAATCTTAGTTACTTATTTATAAAAAAACAAATAGAGAAAATGCAGGCACATTTGTGCATAGCTAGTAGACATGTCTATGGCTTATGGGTGTGAAATTGATAGAGGGAAGATAAGACAGAGAGAGAAAGTCAAGTGAAAAGTTTCATTTGGTACATTTCTTCAGCAGGCCTGAAGCGATGGTCTTTACTGCTCTCATGGTCTCTGTGCATGTGGGATTTATCAGGGTTTCTGGCAACAGGAAGCCATAGTAGCCTGTATCACGCAACTCGAAGGCATAGGCATATGGGATCCCGTTCTTGTAGGCCCAGTCTATCGAGCTTCCAGAACTCACATCTGCAAATGAAAGAAACGCATTACATCACATCTGGACATCTGACTGTTGTTGATATAGAAATAGTCATGAGTCAGAAAACAGACTAACTGAGAGGGCAAACAGAGAGCTGATGACTCATACATGCAGTAGCTATATGTCACTGATTGAAGAAAAGACTGCATGCCTGACTTACAAAGTGTGGTGGAGGCAGGGCCGTATCTGTATCGCACTCCATAAGCTGAGTACAGAGCGCTCACTGCGTTCTGGGCTGCTGATTCCTGAGGGGGAAGAGCAGAGGTTCAAATCTGCTTCAGTATCGGTCGGGTCCAGTCGATCACTAAGGAAGCTTGGCGATAAGTGTAGTCAAAAGATCGTGTGGGCTAACAGCCATCCAGTCGATATATGAGCAAGCTGCATTGAGGCAAGCCCGACAAATAATATCTCAGTCATTCCATCTTAATGAGGAGTTTAATGTTTTGCCCTCTAGATGATATTGAGTTCTATCTTATTGAAGGCTGAGTCACTTTAGAAACTCCAGGGAGCAAATTATGGTTTTTTAGTGTTTACTACAGAATCCTATATAAAGAAGTGTGAAGATATTATACTCAATTAAATATAGTAAATATAGAAAAAAGTTAAAAACTGGCAATTGCTATATGGATGCAAAAAAGAATCACACTTGATTTTGAATAATCAAATGGTCAAAATGGCCACCATAGGAAATGAATGGGAAATATGGAAAATACAGAGCAATTATTTGGGGCACATTTTACAAATCAGCTATGAATTTGTAGTCTTTGATAATGTCTAAGTGTATATCTAAATGCAAAACCTATTACCAGTAATTGTGTCTGAAAATACTATAAGCAATTAGGGAATACACAGCCGTGTATATATTTATATATAGGTGTTATAGAGGCATCTACTGGTTACACCATATTATTACATATTTATTTATTTCTCCCACCAGATGGCACTAGTCTGCCTTACTGGATTGGATTGTAAAATTTCAAGCTGAAACACTGTATTAATTGAAAATAAGATTAAATATTTTTTCTAATATTTGTATTGATTTTAGAGGTGAATATTGTGTAGTACCATGAAATCCCCTCAATATACAAAATATTGAAGAATAAATATTATGGAAACAAAATATAGTACATTCATTTCACATTCATTTCAAAATGTTATGCTTAATACCTTCAGTCTGTTTTGACCGCTGTATGTGAGCAATACCACAGGGTTCAAGACAAGTAATGGTAACTTGCATTTCAGTAATTGCTTCAGTGAGTTTAGACTGATTCAAATTGTTGTTTTTTTTATTCGTTTTTGAATGATTCATTAAACGAACCAGCTCATAAGAGACGTTCATGTATAAGACTACTTTGATTTTTGCTGTATGTGTTTGACACACTAAATTCACAGAACATTGGACTACATTCGTCACGCTGTATATTTTTGATTTGGTAAAAAGTACTTGTTCATAGGAGTCATTTGCTTGTAATGTAAATTGGACTACACTGGTTGCACTGTCTGTTGTTTTTGCGTGCAGCTTGTGAGGACATCTAAATAGAAAGTTGCATTTTCTTTATGTTATTTTTCTTATATTCAATTCAGACAGCAAACTCGCATTCAAAATATAGCCAAAATATGATTTATACATCTAAAGTTTTTCAAGTACTCTGAAACAATACATTGATTATTTATATCTTTGGGCAGAAAATAATTACTGAATGATCACCACCCAAATGGACAAATTCAAGATTTACTGTCTGAAGGTGGAAATCACTCACCACACAGTTGAAGTTTGGTATAGTGGCGTATTTGTAGGAATACGGGTAGAGGAGCATCTGAGCATAGGCGTGAATAGAGATGTAAGCTTTGACCCGTTTCCTGTGTTTGCGCAGAAACTTGGCAACAGCTTTGACCTCAGGCTCTGACTCAGGGAAGGGACCGCAGTATGTGTCATCGCAGGGGTGCA